GGGAGGAGGCAGTGGCGAGGGGGCCGCTGCCCGGCAGGCGCTGCCGCTGGGCCGAAGTCGCTTCTGGGGTGTCGGTCCCCGAGCGAGGTCTTGTGTCTGATTGTTTGTGTAAAGTTGTCTTCGCTTCATGGGGCTGATAACGAGGTACAGTACACCTCATCCCACTGGCCATCTCCAGACAAGTGTATTGTCTTGGCGAAAGATGGGAATAGACCCCGTTACACAGACCCCGTTCAGCTCAGTCAAGCAGGATTATTTTTTGTCATTCAGTGATTTTCATTTAAGAACCTATTTATTTAAAAATTTTCATGCTTATTCTTCTAAGTATTTTCCCTAAATATCCGTCTTACTCAACTTTTTTGAAGTGGAAAGAAAAATCTGCGCAGCCTTAGTAGTTGAAACCAAGAGCTTCACTCAACAGTCAGAATTGAGTATAACTGTTGAGCAGGTATTCTTTATTCGCAGCGCTGGGCAGCATTGGGAATCGCTCTACCACAAGTAGGTTTCAAAAAAAAAAAAGGTTTCAAAACATAAGTGGGTAGTGACTACAGAGGGTAGTTAGGAAAAAGTATAAATGAAATTATACACATTACCGTAAAATACAGGAAAAATGCAGGAAAAATAAAAGCTAGTAAAGCACAAGTGATGTCTAATGTTAAAAGTAAATGTCTTATTTTACAGGTCCCTGTACATTAGCAATTTCAAGTATACTTGTAGCAGCTTCCCTTCAGTAGTCTTACCTTCAGTACTCCTTTTTCTGTTAGTAGTAGATTAAAATTCAGCCTTGAAGAGATTCACCACTACTGTATCTAGATATCAGTGGATTGCTCCTGTGCAAGATTTTACAGTGGTTGCTTAAATTATAATTAAATGAGTATGTCAATACCAAGATTGTGTCTTCAGTGGTTTTGTTGGAATTTTTTTTTAAGGAATTTATTTTTTCAGTTGGTTTGACTTTTTTGTATGGTGTGTTTCTAAAACCACAAGTTGATTCTTAAGTACAAACACTGCAGTTTCTTAACAGTTAACTGAATCATTGATTTTAAATTAATTTTCTTCTTGATTTCTAAAGTATGGAGGAGCTCCGGGAGGACCAGCATTCCCTGAACAAGCTCAGGATCCTTTGTATGCTTATTTTGCTGCAGTAGCAGGGCAGGTAAACTTATAAAATGTTACTTATTTCTTGGAATTTTTTATTTATGGGGAATAATTTCTATATTAGCTTTTTGAAAGAGGAATGCATAATATTAGCAGTGAGGAAACTTCTTAAGTTTAAAAAAAAAAACAACAGCAGAATGGTTTTACTTAGCATATTTGCTATATATAGCTGTACAGATATACCGTGTAGCTATACACACAACAACGATACGGTTTGTAATAGATAGTATACACAGGGACTGTATAGTTACATTGAATGTTGTAACCGAATTGTGCCTCACATTTGGGTTGGGGAATGCTGTCAGCTTTGGGAGAAAAAAGCAGGAAACAATGAGAAGCATGGGCTGTGGAGATGGCCTGGCTAAGAGCGAGAAGTGCTAATAAGAGAGAGATGGCTACATGATCTTAATGGACTTAATAGACTCACAGTTGGGAAAGCAGTTGTGCCAATATTTGGGTTTTCTGGTAGGACAGAGTGATTGTTCTGTCAGAGGAAAAGGCATTCACAGTTGATTTAGGCCTTTCTTTTTTCTTCCTTGTCATTCTGCACTGCATTTTTGATCTCTTTACTGTAGTTTTGTGGCATATGTTGGTTTTGTATGATTATGGATGTTACTAGAAATAAGTAGTTCTTGAACTGCTGAGCTGAAGTTCTGTCTTTGCTGGCCATATGTGTAGCTACTTATTGCACACTTCTAGGGTGTGTGCAGATCTAAAGCTCTGCTCCACAGGTAGATGTAACCACAACATGAAAATTTGAATTCAGCAATATTAGCTGATGATTAAATTCCTAGTTTAAGACTGTAATTCGTGTTTTGTTCACTGTGCTATTCTTTTGAATTAATAATGCATCTTAGGGTCTGTATATTATTTCTTTAACATTACTTATGAAAATACGTAGACGGTGTATTTTTGTAGTAAAGGAGAATAGAATACTGGAATAACCTACACACAGTGTGAGGCAGGGAGCCCAAGCTAAATTCTGCTGAACATGCCGACAACTTGTCTGCCAGCTGAGATGCCTCTGCATCCAGGTGCCACTTGGATGTACACCAGGAATCAGCAGTGGAGCCAGTAACTGAGGCTGGAAGAATGAGTAAGCTCATTAAAGCTTACTAAAGAGCTAGGGAAGTAACAGCGAACAGCATCCAGCACTGTGGAGAGGAGATGGCAGGAGCTGGACTTCAGCATGGCATAGACTGTCCCCAGGCTTCTCAAGGCATGGTTACTGAAAGTGAGCTGAGGGGTGTGATTAAGTAGCATTTAAGGGTGCTTAATACTTTCTATTTGTAGAAATCATTCCTTATTGAAATAAAATGGGTAGCTTTTGAAATGCTATCCTTAGAACTGGAAGTCAGTTTCAGAGACTAGTGGCTGTGCAGAGGTAAAACCCCTGTAAGGAGACAGTGAAATGGAACAGCTAAATTACCAGTTCCGTGCAAGTCTGTAACACATCTAGCAGTTTTCAGTAAATACTTATTGTAGAATTAATAAAGTTTTTGGACATGGTTTGCTGCTTTCAATGTTGGTTTTATGCCAACATAATATATAAGCAATCTTGGAGCTTTCTATGAAGTAGTTTACAACTGAGATCCTGACTTAGATTTGAGGAATTAGTTTCCTTTGTTTACAGAAGAAAGTCAAAAGTATTGTTTAAAATCTTTATTATGTTAATTGAGTCTGTCTTTGTAGGAAGTAATAGTTTTAAGTCTGTTTGAAAAGCACCTATGCTTTGTCTACTTAAACTGCTTGAGTTCTACTTCAAGGGAAAAAAAAAAAAAGCTGAGCATATTTTTGGTAGTGTTAATCATGATTACAAATGGTGCTTTTAAAGTTATGTAGATCCTGCCTTGGTTTCAGGAGGCACAAGGGGTTTGAAGAAATTTGCTGCTTAATATACATGGCTATTGCAAATCTTTTAGTTTTCTTGTGAATTTAAATTTTAAAATATATCTGTATAGTTAGACTGATGGAGTAGATTGGAAGCAGTTTTGGGTTTAGATGCTATTAATTTTACATAGAATCCAAACATTGTTGCTTTGTTTTCAGACCTTGTCAAACATTATTTAACGTATTAACTACTATTTGTCCTATAAATAAGGATACTTCATTTCTGAAGTTACCTGGCTGTGCCATTCCCACCATGTCATTTAGTAGCATATCTCTGTTCTTGAGAAAAAAAAAGAAAAAAAAAAGAAAAAATGCTTACTGCATTTAAAAATTTTAGGAAAATGCTGAGGCAAATAAATTTGTTTCAAATTTAAAGCAACTCTCTTTTCACTATTTAATGCTTTACAAAAGTCACATATTTTTTTAAATCTACAGATACAATGCTCCTTCCTTGAATGAGGTTAAATGATATTTAGCTCTTTGTGAACCCAGCTTTATGTTGGGTGTGTGAGGAACGTGACCTCGAATTCCAGCTCCATTTTTGACAGCTCATTGCTTTCCATGAATTGGCAGTTGTTTTCTCTGTTTGGCCCTGAGCAGGATGTGTTGGAAATGAGTCATTTTTCAAACCATACAGATAGGTATCTCTTCTGGGTTTCCTTTGTTTTTCTTTCAAAGTTCTCCGATTTCTGGTTTTGTTTTTTCTGCTAACAACTTACTATTCCCACAAAACCCAGGGGGTTTTTTAGATTTGTAAGTCTTAATGCTGGCTTGAGAAGCGGGTATGTATGATCTGGCTTCCAGATTTCCTGCTGTAGCAGTGAGATCATAAACATAATCTAAAATGACTACAATATCCACTAAGCTGAAATTAGTACTTTAAGGAAAGCTGTCTTTCTCTTCAGAATTTTGTGTTGGTTTCTATGCAGCTGATTTACAAGTATATGCTACCATAATCTGTTGTGGGTTTGGTTGTGTTGGTTTTTTTAAAAGTTAAGTTTAGAGCAAACCTGCCAATCCTGTTCGTTCTTTAGTACATCGCTGATGAGAAAGCTAATGCATGTTGCAGAAATACCACCAATAAAGAAACATTATTACAGATACGAGTTATAAAAGGCAGTTTCGGTCATATAGCAGACAGGTAATCAGTTGTTTTTTGAAAGGGTAACTAATGCCACTGAAAAGGGAGTGGGTACTGGGAATAACCAGCCTGGGAGAGGTAATTAAAACAATAGCTGATACATCTTCTGTTATCGAAAGGATGGACAAATAGATGCTGATGAGCTACAGAGATGTCTCACCCAGTCAGGGATTGCAGGAGCATATAAACGTAAGTTAATGATTTAAATAAACCACAAAATCCCCCAATCCTAAAGCATACTAATTCTTCTGCCATCTACGAGAAAATGCTTATAGTTGTGCTTTCTGCTGAGGTGTTTTTTTTTTATTTGCATGGTAAATGGAATTTCTTTGCATATGGACTGCTCTGAAGCGTAAATTCTCTATATTCAGTTCTGTGCCTATAGGACTTACCTTCTCAGCCTCCCTAGTTCCCCACTGCTGAGCTGTGGAATTGAAAGGTTTTGTTTTGTAATGGACAGCCAATTCTTAAAAAGGTATTTTGCTTTGATGGGTGTTTTAAATTGCTTTAAAAAGGTGTTTTTAAATTGAGCTTTGATATTGACCAAAAATTTCTGTGGCAGGACTCCTCTGTTGGGATACCTAGTGTTCAAACTCAAGCTTCTATGAATAAAACTGGCTTGCTCAAGTGGTGTCAACGTTGAAATACAAATGACCACTTTGACTGAAAACCAAAACCTTTATGGATGGAGATAAGAGCAAATTAATTTTAAACACAAATTGAAATGCCTCCAGATTGTCTGCTGTCAGTTTTTCTAATGAGTAATGGTTAAAGGCTCTCATTTGGATCAAAATATGGTATGACTGTATACAGTGGAAACAGTTATGTATTATTTTATACATTATAATAAATTATCAGTGCATAATAAAAAGCAATTCAAAATTTTACATTTAAAACTGGAAATCATTCTAATTTACGTTTCCTTTTTCTAATTAAAACAGCTTTCAACTTAGAGACTTGCAGACTCATGATCTCAATGCTGGATGTATCCTTTATGATGAAATGTAAAAATTTTTGTGTTACGTAAGCAAAGATGAGAGGGTGCCAAAAATTTGGTGGAAAATTCTTTGTAATTCCCATTCAGCCCTTACGTGTCAAGTATTATGACTGGGGAACTCTTACTCATTTTACAGGATGAAATAATAATTCTAATAAATTAGGCTCTTGGTGACTGATCTTCTTACAGCAAGTGGTATCCCTTTAAGCCTAGGGGACTGTTTCTCCATCAAATGCGTGAAAGAGTCAGGTCTGGCAGCCCAGAACAGAGTTTTGTGCAAATTCTCGTTGTGCTTTTCAACTTGGACCATATTCTAATCCTTCCTAATGAATTAAACATCTGTACTACAGAGCTTGAATACAGTCTAAGTCCCCCTAAATCCTGTCCCTTGAATGAACCACGTTTGAGTATCTAATGGGATGGTGTATGGCCTTCAGCAGTAGAACCTATGGAAGACTTAGGTATACTGTGCAAGGTTGGAATCTTTGGAGTTTTTCAGTCAAAATTTAAATTTTCACATTCAAATGTTTTGCTGTTCAAAAATAAAAAAGCAGAAATGAAATTGGGAGGACCATTAGCTCACCTTGAACAAACCACTTGGAATGCAAAAGAACTGATATTATTCTAACAAAGTAATTTTTAATTTGCCATCTATTTTTATTTTGGATATGTATTTTATTGGTAACAATTACATTGTAGCAGGTAAAAGAGAAGTGTGTGCACTGTTAAATTCACAAAGAGCAAATAGGTTTCACTGAGAAGAAGTGGGGAGACCAAGCTCTCCGACCTTTGGGTTGGGTCGGTAGTATTATCTCTGTGCTGTGGGATGCTCTAGTTAGTTTTCTACCAAAAAAAATAATAGTAAAATATTGTTAATATTGACCTTCAAGAAAGAGTTTTTAACTAGAGATGATAAAAATGTAAATTTCCATTGAAGAGAGCTTTTTAACATTTTTTTAAGTTAAGAAACATTTTTCTTAGCTTTGGATTCAGAGGGATATGTCTGGCACACTGGGATTTAATGAGTTTAAAGAACTCTGGGCTGTGGTCAATGGCTGGAAGCAACACTTTCTAAGTTTTGACAACGATAGCAGTGGTACAGTAGATCGTCAAGAACTGGAGAAGGCCTTGATGAACATGGGTAAGTTGTGAAATGTTATTGCTTCTGAGACTGACTTATCCCATTTCCCGTTACCATTCTGCAGTAACTGACACATGATATTCCCAATTAAAAATGTGTTGGATTCTGTTAACTTGCCTGTCTTCTGAATATAGACTTTTTATTTTCAAATAGGGTTTAGACTGAGCCCACAGGCAGTGACTGCAATTACAAGGCGATACAGCACTCAAGGAAAGATTACATTTGATGATTATATTGCCTGCTGTGTTAAACTCAGAGCTCTCACTGGTATGTTGGATTAAACCCTTGTTGCTATCTTCCCCATAACAGATTGTTATTTAACAAAATCTGATTACTCACTTCAAGTTCAACTTTTACATACCACAAAATGAGTTTCTTTCAGTAGAGTTTACAGGCAAAACTGGAACGATTATAGATTATGATTTTGTAAATCCCCATTAAAAAAATGGACTTAAAACTGATGCAGGGTTTGTTCCAGAGACTAGAAGAGATGTTACCAAAATTGGGAAGCAGAACATAAGGGATTGTATATGATAAATATGAAAATTAAGAACCAAATCAACTAGGTTAGAAAGGACCTTGAAGATCATCCAGTCCAACCATTAACCTAACACTGACAGTTCCCAACTACACCATATCCCTCAGCGCTGTGTCGACCTGACTCTTAAACACCTCCAGGGATGGGGACTCCACCACCTCCCTGGGCAGCCCATTCCAACGCCTAACAACCCATTCTGTAAAGAAATGCTTCCTAATATCTAGTCTAAACCTTCCCTGGTGTAATTCGGGGCCATTACCTCTTGTCCTATTACTTGTTACGTGGTTAAAGAGGCTCTTAAAATAAGTCTTGGAATGAATTGCAGTGTTCTTCATGAGTTCTCATTTATGTGGCCTGCAGAATTTTTTTGAAAGTACAATGCATTTAAAAAAATTAACTGTAATTCTTCTTACCTGGTTCCTGTTTTATTTTCTTAATGCATTTTTGCAGAATGCTTTAGAAGAAGGGATACATCTCAGCAAGGTTTTGTGAACTTCCACTATGATGATGTAAGTGAACTTTAAAGAATCAGTTAAAATTACAGGGTAAAACTAAAGGAAAACTTAAAACTGAAGACACACATAATGAATTGAGTTTGTGCTTGTCTTCCCTGGATTATGGTGTTATCTGAGAGCACAGAGGTTCTGGGTTTTCTTGAGTATTTACTCACATATTTAGAGTTCTCTAAAACGTTGTTGTGCATTTTTGTCTGGACTTCTTACCAGCATGGTTCAAGAAATTATAAGAAGCTACGTTGCTTGCTAACATCACTCTCTGTAACTTTTCATTCTTTTTTGTTTTAAGGTTTGGTAGCCATTTTTCCCAGAAAAGGCTGGGGGAGGTATGGTGAGGACAGACAGAAATTGCATTCAGTCAGGTCTTGTCTTCTTGGCGGCATCTGTGCGGGAAAAGGAGAACACTAGATTCAAGTATTCCTGGGGTTTTTTTGTTGTTATTATGAAGGAGATGTTTTGTTTTGCCTAACTATTAGCTAATTTTCATATTTAGTTTCAAAGTTTTGTTGTTCATGGACTGAATTTGTTTACAGAAAAGGGTAGTGATAATGGGCATGTTAGGAGAAAAAATGAAAACTTGTTCTCTACCATTCATCTAATAAATGGTTATTCTATTTTCAGTTCATACAGTGTGTTATGAGCATCTGAATCAAAAGGAAGCAAGCTGTGGATGATCACAATTAACATTCCAGTTTGTGTTTTGCTTTGCCAAATCTTCCAGTGATTGTGTATCTCAGTATTGGAAATTGCATATTTTATGAAGGTATCACTTTACAAACTCACACTTTTTTCATTTTGGCAATGAATATAAACTACTCTTGTACTGTTGTCTTTAACTTCCAATCTGTGATATTAAAGATGTTTTTATTTTCATAAACTTGCAATTTACAATATATAACTTACTAAGTTCTTCTGTAATGATTACTTTTTTCCTGTGATTCACTAAAACCAGTTCCTGATGTGCAACTTACCTTTTTCTATCTTAAACAGTATCATGTGTATGACATAAGATGATATATATTCTTTTGTCTTTGACAGCATATGACAGATGTACAAACTGAAAGAGCTTTTGGAGTGGTCATTTTACACTGATCTGTTAGTAAATGAGTAAGTTTGAGTTGCTTATTTTGACAGCTAGTAATATTCAAGATTAATTCTGTGACACCATACAGTGAGTGTAAGACTGCCTGTTAGAACTTCTCTTAGCAGGGATTCGACAAAACATAGCAGAGAACTATTCTAGCAGTGTGCTCTTGTACAGGGGGCTTTTGTTCCAGTAAGATTCTTGCTCTTGTTTTGTGTCACTATATAAAACGTTTTTAAACATACAAAAACTACGCTGTGTCAATTTATACATTAACTTTTCCTTTAATAACAGACTTCTAAGCTGCCAGACCTCAGTTGCATGGAAATTGATGTTTCTACCGTCTCCTCCACTTTAAACCCTAAGAAGTAGCCTTCCTGCCTCTATACACTATTTGACATACAAGGGGCAAAACCCACTGAGAAAAATTCTTGCTAGGTTACTATTTCAGATCACGGCAGTAATTACCAATGCTGTAGAATTTACTTGAAAGCAGATACAGAGGGGCAAGACTTTTTTGCCTGAGATCTTTCAGGGAAAAAAAGTTTTGTTTGGTGGGATTTTTTTGTGGTTTTGTTGTTTGGTTTTTTTTTGAGAAGGTTGACATTGTATGGGAAGAGGGAGCAGCACAACTGTCTAGAGGTAGTTCAAACTTTTTTCCAATGAAATAAGTTAATGAAACTTTTGTTAATTTTGGTCACTTCTACCTACCACGGAGCAGTGATAGGTAGATTCTTTTGCTAGCCTTGTAAATGCAAAGAACGGTAAGAGGAGTATATTTCTTATATTAATGGTTTTGAGCACTTTTGGGGAGGAACCTTTGTACTAAGGAATGAAAGCAAAACTATAGGGTGTGTGTATACATAGATGCCTGTGTGTGTATGTCACTGGACAAACAACAGCAATAATCGTCAAAGCAGAAATCTTGCTTGAAGACACTATTTTATACCCTAGCTTGCTAAGCATACTGTAAAATCCAGGTCTCGAGTTTCTGGGCTGTAAATTCAAAGCTGGCTGGTCTCACCCAAAGAAGCAACTACTACTTACTACTTAAATTCAGAATCCTTTGTGTATCACTTGTAGTTTCATATTGGAAGCTTCTTTCTGCCTTCAAAAATGAATTTTAAAGGCATAGACATGATTATACTTCCACATTCTGATAATTGTACATGGTCCTGTTGCACATAAAGTTGGGAAACAGACATGGGATGCTACAGAAAAGCACTTCTGACATAATGACCGAAGTCCGTAAAGGCTTGTGCTGTAGCCAGCATAAGTTCTGGTGCTGTTCAAAACTCTGATAGCCTACAAGGTTAGTAGGGGTATAAAGCAAAGTCTGTTCTTGTAGGGTTTTGATTATTCCACTGTTAATTTTACCCTATAGCTGATGAGACATCTTTAACAAAATGCTCGTTATCCACTCAACTTTTCCTTTATACTTTTGTTTAATTGTATTTCTGGTCTTGTACTGGGTTTGACTGGGATGGAATTTTCTTTATAGTGGCCTATACATAGGCTGCTGCGTTTTAGATTTGTGACTAAACCAGCATTGATTACACGAGTGTTTCAGCTGTTGCTGGGCAGTGTTTGCACAGCATCAGGGGCTCCATTTCTCACTCTGCACCCAGTTTGTAGGCTGGGGGGAGGCAGGAGGCTGGGAGGGAACATGCAGCGGACCAAAGGGAGAGTGTACGCTAAGGTCAAGCTCAGCAACAGACCTGGGGCAGGGCTGGGCAAGTCTCCAAAGTAGGTGTTGCCTGGGGAATGGTTGGGCACAGGGCTGCTGGTGGGAGGTGCTGTGTGAGTGCCTGTGCGGGGTTTTTTCCCCTCTTCCAATTCTCTACCTGCCACAGGCCCGAAACTACTAATGAAAGTAAACATCAGACAATAATGAACATTCTTGTAGATAAGTAAAATTTACTAAATGATCTGAGACACCCCCCTCCCTGCAGTTCCACACTCCTATACAGGTCTGAAGTTATGTGATAAATAAATAATTAGAATTATTGCCAAAAGAATATGTGGTATTAAAATTGCACCTACAAATAAAAGCTTAGCTTCCATACTTTTTTTATTTTTTTAATTTTTTTTTTAATGAAGCATAATAGTTGCCTGGAGCAATGAAAGAAGAGGACCAATAACAAACACACTTAAGTTTGACTCAATTTATTTTCTCAGGCTGAATTGCTGTTTTAGCACTGACCAGCTACTGGGCAGTGAAATGGTGTGAGAACAAGAAGCGTGAACCAGTAGGGTTTTCTTCAGGGATCTTGTAATCACGAAACAGAGAAAACTGTAAAACAAATTGCTCCAAAACAAGGAATAAATTCTAGCTCACCCAAGAAAGAATTGCATTTTGTTCTCCGTAAGTGTTTAAAAAAATCCATGGTATTCACAGAATGATAAGATACATCATCTTTCATCTTTACACATAAACACTAAGAATCTGCTGTCATGTAACTAAAGAAACCCACTTGAAAACAACATAAAACGTGAAACATATGTAAAAGTTGCTTTCCCATTAAGAGTAGAATCAGTAAGTTACCTGCTTGAGACTAACAGTTACCTATAACTCAGAATTAAAGGCTTTTCTTACCCACAAGGTGTACTGGGAAGGATGCTTATATGATGTTAAGTGGGACGATCGCTCTTGACCTTTGTGCAAACAATTGGGCATGGTTTAGAGTGTAGATTTTTTTCTAGGTTTCCTCCAGACATACTAAGGAACAGGAATTTTAGACTTGCCTTGAGAACAGTAAAACTCTAAGACAACGCTTGGGAAGCTCACAGGATCACTGTCAACCCTGGAATTGGAAAAAATACTCTGTATTCTATTATTAGCCATTAGCCTTTTTTTTTTTTTCCCATGCGTGTAGTGTCTTTTTTTTTGTTTGTTTTACAGAGACACATAAAACAGGAAGTGCTAAATACAAGGACTTCTGAGAACAAAACACGCACAACAGTCTTTGTCATTGAAAGTCACTTTACTGATGTTACAATATGTTAGTAACATTGAAAACCACAGGCATTTGTATTAAATACTCTCATAGAAGTGGATACTGTGATGCTGTTATTAAAAGTGAGCAGGAATTTAGAACCCCGAATTACAATGATTTAATTTATAAAAAGCAACATTTTGTTTACCTACATGAAAGCCAGATTCATTCAACAGCCCAATGCCTGTAATGTTTATGACAAAAATATCACACTCGAAGCTAGAAAGTAATAAATTGTGATGCTTCATTTTGGTGTTTGTCAAAATCTTACATTTTTACTACATCAGGCATGTTCTTTAAAGGATTTTAACTAGCAAAGACAACAATATGGTATAGATTGGTTGCTTTTGCTAATACTAGTCCAGCCCCAGTGGTGAAGCATGATTCTCCTTGCCTCTCTAAATGTTTTACCAAGACAGGCTAGTATGAGTGAAAAAACAGATAGCTTTTTTTACAGCGATGCTGAAGATAAACATTAGCACAAAATGAAGCTGGCAGAGCCAATTGGTATATATCACCCCAAAAGCTTTGCTGAAAGAATGGGTCATAATGTAAATAGTGTTTTTTCCAACAATTTTAAAATTCTGTAATGCTTTGCTATTCTGAAAAAAATAGTTTGCATTTATGCAACAATAAAAATAAGTACTGTATTCTATATAAAACACTACCTATTGTATATATCTTTACCCTTAAGAAAAAAAAAATCAGGTTATATATTCACAGTTTGAATATGTTCTGGACTGTATTTCCAAGCATAAAATATGCAGAGTCTCTACACAGGCAGTGAGCAGGAATCCTTGTACCAATAACCAAAATAAATCAGCATTTACTGTTATACAGAGCCTTACAATATTGCATGATTAGCTCCTAGCACCACTATACTTACAAGGTCAGTCAGGCCTATATACAGAATTTCTAACATGGTTGTAAAAATAGATTTTTCCATGCTAAAGTTAGAATATGTAAGGTCTTAAGGCCTCATGTTAAGATTTTCTTTAAACAAAAATTTATTTTTTTAGAATACAGAAACAGAAAACAATTAGCTTGTTGCTTTGACATTTTATGTTCTAGTATTAAAAATAGCGTAAGACACCTATACTTCTTCCTTAGAGAATGTGGGGTTTTTTAAATGCTCTGCACTTGTTTTCCCCAACCTGTCTCATCTCATTCTGAGATATATTGCAATTATGGCCCATCTACATAGCAAAAGTTTTTAAACAATTTAAAGCTGGCTAAGCTAAAGTGATTTTGAAACTGGTGGATTGTATTTAAGAGAACTAAAACCGCCAGACAGTGAGCCAATGTTGAAGTCAGGTACAAAGTTTCTCAAGTGTGAGCAAGTCACCACATTTCTATGTTCTGAACTTATTTTTACTGCTTGTTTTGGTCACTGAGCTGAGATAGCATATTAGCATTGACTGTTGTAGTGCTTCTCTAAATATAAAACTGCTGTGAAATGACAGGATACCACATGCTGGGTGTATAAGCTACTGTTTCCAAAGCTTTAGTTTACATCAGCATCCATACCGGAGGCACAAGAAATGTTTTTCATGGGCTGACTTGGAGAATACTCAGGTCGAAGGAGTTTTTTTAGAGTAGATGATAGAGACTATTACTTCCTGTTTCTGGTGAAATCACACTTCAAAGAGCCCTATCTGCATTGCAGCTACATCTGCAGTCAATTTCACCATTCCCTTTTTTCCTGCTCTGTTGGGATAATAGTTACGTGCACACAGGAACATGATGCCACCATGCAGTCAGTCACAGGATGACAGGCTGTACATATGTGTGCAGTTCATTCATATTTGTCTTCAGGAAGTCCGATCAAAGTCAAATCCCATACTGATAAATGTCATATGGTTTGGAAGCCATGCAAATAGTGGGTCACCAGCTCAGCAGTCTGATGGATAATCCATTCTGGGCTAAAAAACTGGCTTTGGAGACCACAATTCTAAAGCTTTTAAAAATAAGGTAAATAATCTCACATTGTGGTCCGTAACAGTGGCCCAAACAGTCTGCTAATGATAAAGATACTCAAGTGACAGAATGGATGATCCTCAGACTTGGAGAAAGAGAAACAGGACACAGCACAGCTTTTAGGTTCACAGACCCAGTGATTAAAGAGGCTTAGCCTTGAACAGTGCTAGAGGGTGAGAAAGACACAGGATGGCTGAGCCACCAAACACCTGTATCAGTTGTTGTGGTTTAAACCCAGTCGGCAACTAAGCACCACAGAGCCACTTGCTCACTCCCCCCTTCAGCAGAATGGAGGAACAGAACTGGAAGGATAAAAGTGAGAAGAAAACTCATTGGTTGATACAAGAACAGTTTTAATAATTGACATAAAATAATAATAGTAATGATAATAGTAATTATAAAAATTTTAATGAAAAGGGAAATAACAGGGATAAATAAAATCCAGGACAGACAAGTGATGCAATTGAAAACAACTGCTCACCACCAACCGACTGGTGCCCAGACAGTCCCCGGGCAGTGGCCCCCTGCCAAACTTCCCCCTGCTTTTATTGCTGAACATTATGTCATACGGTGCGGGATATCCCTTTGTTCAGTTCGGGTCAGCTGTCCCAGCTGTGTCCCTTCCCAACTCCTTGTGCACCCCCAGCCTGCTCACTGGTGGGGTGGACAGCTACTATGGAGAAGATTAACTCTACCCCAGCCAAAACCAGCACACCAGGGCAAACTGCACATGCGACATGAGGCACTGGAAAGACCCCATCCAGGACATCATGTGGAAAGGTGATCAACTTAGCAGCTTTCTGATCTTAGCCAATTAACACAAGAGGCTGCTAGTGGATGTAATTATAATTCATGGAAATGCTTTTCAGTAGGAGTAGAAAGGGCCTGGAAGGGAACAGAGTTTGCTGTTTTACACTGCAGTGCGATAATTTTGCTTACAACAGCGAGGTATGGGATTCGATGACAGAGCAAGTCCTAAGAGCTAACTTGTTATCCCATAGGACTGTGGAATCTCATCCTTTCACCTATCCATTAATTAATTCATTAATGAAATGACTGCAAATATGTTCAAAATTTGTAGTGTATGCATGCCTGTAATAGTGTATGCACCTATTCTTAGCTCTGGTTTTGAAAATGGTTGACACATTGGTGCTGACACGACCACTCAGTTCATTTAAAACCAGCAACAGGGATTCAGGTAAGAAGACTTCAGTACAGTATCTACTGACATAGTTTCTCTCTGATTTTAATTCAGGCTATAGCTCAAAGGTCCATTTGTTCATTAGCACAATCAAAATTATCTAATGAGTGCATCATCTTAGCAAGTTCAACATCTTATAAATCAAGAACTCTTAAATCATTTGGAATTAGCTATCCTCAAAGTCAAGTCACACTTCAAATCAGGTAACCAGCATGTAGTGACTTAAGTTCACAACTTAAGGAAAGATATGCTGTATAAAATTAACAACCTCCTTAAAACTCCTATTTAAAATAATACTATATGTAAATTATCAATCACAACCATGTCTGGTATATTGCCTGAGTATATTCACCAAAAGTCTACAGTATGGATTACTGAAATTCTTATGTCAACAAATTCAGAATTAGCAGGTAAATTATTACATGTTAACCTGTGGCATCACTGTGTAGCATTATTATTTGGACACAATCTCTGTTTTCCAGTCTCCATCAGTTCGTCATATTAATTTTATTTTAAATTATACAAGATTCTTCTCCCACATTGAAATACATAACACTAACTTAAGTATAGCTCATCCTGGAGGTCCTATGTTTGTGTGGACAGTTACTTCTGTTTGAGAAGAACTGATAACCTCCCACTTCAACAGGCATCTACAGCATAGCTGGAAATAACTATTTCATTTATTAAAATAAAAACCAAAATAAAAGCATGAGTCTCAGTGAGTCAAAATGACTGAAGTATCTTACTGACAATACAAGTACTCTATTTTAGACTGGATGAGGTATTATGCGGCAATTTATATTGCTATTGCCAGTGTAACTGCAGTGGATAAAAATATTTTTAATCTTCAAAATTATTAATCTGGAAGCTTTCCATAATACACAGTACATTTTAAGAGTAGGAACCCACATAATGTAAGCAAACAACTTCTCTCTTTGACCTTCACTGGCTTTGGAGGCTCACACAGCCCTGCCAGTTCAAGTTTTGTGCAGTGACAAGGCCTCCAAGTTACCAGCCTGATGCAAAATTATCTGCAGAAGAATTCTGCAAAAAACCCAAGTCCTGTGATGTTCTCACTCTAGACCATCAAAGTGAAAGTCAATATTTATTTAACTTAAACTTAGTGCTCATAATTAGACTTCCAGTCACTACATATCTCCAAATGTGAAAACTACTGTTAAAAGTTACACTACACACATAAGTGTATCATCATATGCCACAAATGAATTATACCAAAACAAGAGAGAAGCTGAAAGTACATACTACATTGAAAATACAGTCAGGAGAGCCATTTGTCTGCAGAACAAGAAGCTATGAACATAACACAACCAACCAGTCTGTTATATCCAGTTCTGTCTGCCAAATCTTGCTGCTTCTTGATAAGGCAAAATCAAAAGGGAAGAGTAACCAGTGGTAAACATAAAATATGCACAGAAATCTAAAAGGATTGTTCAAAATTACATGCCAGTTTGTATCCAAAGTACCATAAAAGGCACACGATGAACAGTCCAGTTACTAAAGACAAGATACTAATACGGAAGGGAAAAATAGATTCCAGGCAACAGAGTAACACAGTGGCTACTGGGTTAGCATGATGTGCTAATGTGGGTGAACTCCTTGAGGGTCCTGCTCTAAGTCCAGTGAGCTCAGTAAAACACATTGATTTCAAGTGATTATGGCTCAGACCCTAATTTCATGAGCTACACGCTACCAACTATCTTTAATCCAGTTACCTACACTCAAATCTTTGCAAAAAGCATTTTTCAGTGCTGACAGATATTTACTCTTCACAAAAGTGAAGAATCTTTTCCCCAAACAATTAAAAGTGACTGGCTCCTTTCAGATGGTCTGTCTGCATCCACTTGCACTCACTCACATTTGCCTTTCTCCAAAATACTTACCAGAACCTGTCGACTGTGAAGGAAAATCATTTGAATGACAAGGCCAATCTTTTGTCATAATCCAACATACAGCCTAATCATAAAATATAGTGCTTTTAAAAATCTTACATACTTTACAGTTGCTGACATCTTTAAACATCTCTTAATTTAATCTTACATATATTTGACTTTATTGAGAGACTTAAAAAAATATATCAAAAGGCTGCAAGTGTTGGGTTCACTTATTGAAGGAAATACATGAAAGAGGTAGAAGATTCAGAAACACCGCAGATGTTCCTATTACAATAATATCTAATTGATCATACGACTGTTGGACAAGGTATTCAACTGCACCACACAGAATTGGGTGTTTTATTCTGCAATGGTACTACCTGAAGCAAATAACTAGTCAATTTTGGAAAGCTGGTACATTATCAACTGATTTAATATGGTCCAGTTTCTTACTGACTGATAATTCCCAATCGAAAGACATTAGTTTTACAACAACGTTTAGAAGTCTCAGGTGTTAGAAGTCTAACCATCCACTGATACACAAGATTAGCATCTCCAAGATAAAGGGTTTGTTCCCTCCCACCCCAGATTTTTAGGCTAAACTCACTTGTACTCAGCTTAATACCCCCAAAAATTGTCAAGTGGGCTTCAGGGGCAGCAAACATAGTTTTCAAGCACATGATAAAGGTGATTCCAGTAACAAATAAAAATTAAAAGACAGCAATGAAACCGACCACTTGCCCAGCATTGTTATTATCTAGTGCAGTGAAATCGTTATGCTTCTCGTAAGGTACACCTTGCTATCTAAAACAGTGTCTGAAATGCTCTATCAAAAATACACAGCAACTCTAACCAGAAGGACTTCACATCACCACATCCTGAATTGACTAGAAGTATTCCCAAATGTCCAGTAAATTTGGGCTGCACATTACTTAAATACTCTGTTGTCTGCCAAATCATTCTTGATTACACCCGTGAGAGGATACACTGGTCATCTCATTGAACAACGTAATTTTGGCTGCTTCCTCTTACATTAAGACAAAGTGCTGCTGTACTGGTTTCTGCAGTCTACCATACTACTGAGATTGTCAAGACAGTATATGATACTGAAAAGATAGTACAGATTTTGGTCAAACACCAGTTTCTGAGAGACACAGTTTTACAGTACTGTACTTTCTGTATTTCCAAAGTTGTCTGCTCATAATATTAGAAAATTTGAAGTGTGATGATGTTAGTCATGACTGTTTCTTTAGGCATTTGGCAAAATACACTTATGTATAACTGCTATTTTTGACATTATCAAATGTTTACATATATACAATCCATATATTGAGATTATAAACACGTAAGGTAAAAAAAAAAAAGATATAATCCTTGCTTGTTTGACGTTTGTGTCAAATAGTTGCCTTTCAAAGCTTGACATCCTGTCACAAAAAAATCCTATATTTCTTACTCCTGCATGCTAATTTCTACTACAGTATGTTGTTTATCCCTTACATGTGGAAAGTAAAGAACACGAGGTTCATGCATACAGCATACAAGTTTACATCAGCTGGGCTCTCCGGGAGGCGTGTTCCCAGTTCCACTCTGGTCTGACTCGGGACTGCACTAAACCAGAGAAAAACCTCTCTTATGCGGGACTGGCAAATGGACTGCAGTTGGGATTCTAGGTAAGTGTATCTGTCATCATGCGGAATAGCCTTGTCATGTCCGGGCTAATTATCCCCTGTTAATTTCTGATTTTGGTTATTCATCAAATCCATAAAATCCTAGTCAACAAAAAAGAAAGAAAATAAAAGGCTGCTTTTTTCCCTTCCAGAGGAGAGGAGGTTCTCACTGTGATCACGGGCATCTCTGTTGATCTTTCAAATTGTCTGAAGAGCAGATGAATGTGCAATGACTCAGAGATGCTGAGTTTCTATAAAATTCGAAGTAAACAGTTCTGATGTCACCCCAGGAAAACAGTGCAGCTAAATGGACGTCTCCCATAGCTGGAAAGGGGGAAAAGGAACACAAAGACACACTGAGCACCAAGATAAAACAGGCTGTTACCCAAACTGTGTGAGGAGCTTGTTTGGGGACCTGCATCTACATCACTTGGGTCGTGAAGGCTAAGCTCTTGGTCTTCTCACAGCCTCTGGTATCTGTTCAGACCACAGACAGCAGCCTCAAGCATTTCAGCATGACTTGCAGCCAGCATAGTCAATGTCCACAGCTGGGAGTGTGGAGAGTTTGAAGGAAAAATGTCCATGTGGCATCAACTTCGTATTAGACAGCTTTTGCCTTACAGTCACGCTAACTAACATTAGTGTAATTTCCCATTCTCTTCTGCCTAACTCTGCTCAGGGCAGCATGAATTTCTGCTATGGGTTTGAGCTGGCACTGAGGCAGCTCCAGGGCTGAAAAACGTCAGTGCAGCCCTTTCTCCAAGCTGCTCTGCTCCACATGTGCCTGGGAGACCCTGTGCTGCCCCTCACACAACTTTCTGCCCCAAGCAGGATGTGGGGGTAGCAGCATGCAGGTCCTCTCAGTAGCACTCTGCTCCTGTTTTGTCTTGGAAAATAAAGGACAGAGAGCAGAGATGGGAATCTCATTTGCATCAGGAACATGAACTAAAGCTACCACAAGTAAAACTTCTAAAGTAAATTTCAGAGGTTTTTTGCTCATTCAAATATCTGCTATGTCTGATTCATACAAAGGAAGCAATGGCTAGCTTCATCTTTCAGCAGCAGCTGGAAATCTCTCCCTGCAGAGCAGCATCACGATCCACAGCACCCACAGCATGTTCCAGCGGTTCCTGCCTACCCTGGTGGGCCGGGGTGGGCTTGGGGCAGAAAAGTCTCTCCAGGTCTGTGAGGGCTTGATACAAGCCCTACACGTCATCCTTAACTGCGACGCAGTTACCTTTCCATAAAGCTGGAAAGCAGCTATCCCCCCAGCGCAAATGAGAGCTGCCAGCTGCGTCAGCACCCCGCCCATTCCAGGCACACTCCCAGCCTGAAATAAGACAACTAGTAAAATCTGGCCTTCAGGGCAGGTGTAAGAGCAACCTGCACGGATATCTGTAAACACAGCTACGGAGGCTGCCAGAGGCTCAGCCTTCAGCAGCTTCTGGAGTTAAGGGTACAAAGGAAATGCCACTGCTGCTCTCACTGTTACTCCAAGATGCTGATCTGCCATGCTTTCCTTTTGTAAAACTGCCAGTAAATAAAGTCACTGATGAAATGCACAGAGAAGAGGGACACGTACCCTGGCACTTTGCCTGTTGGCTTTTTTCTCCTCATCAGGAAGTGGTGGCATCGGGTATGGGTATTTTCTGCTGGAAGCAATAGATCCAGTGGATGAAGATGGAGACTTTGCAGGAGACAGTGTCCTGAGATGTTGAAACACACAAGATAAATGATGTCTTCAGGTCCTAGCACCGCAACAGCAACTGCCATTACTCTGAAGCTTGGTTCAGAACCAAGTATACAGCTTATTATTAGCTCAGTATCGGGGGGGATAAAGTTGTTTGATCAGTAGTCTAATAATTTAATTATACGAATAAAGGTATTTATAGCTTTCAGGAACACTGCAAGAAAAAGTAAAATTTTCTACTTCTTATTAGAATTGTATTGCATAACAAAAACGATTTCCTAAGCTGTTTTATACAGTGCTATAATTAATCTTTATAAAATTAACAAGCCAAATCCACAATTGAATAAATACAGAACTAAAAGATAGACATGGAGTTATGAAGCCTAAATAGAAACAGTGATTCTATAAATATAAGCTGAACAATGTCCTCTGCCAGTGACTAAATGGCAAATATCAGTGTCTTTATATGTACCTTACATATCTGCTATAATGATACAAACGTAGCAAATAAATCTATTATTTTATACCACATTAATTTACACAAATGCATGCACTTGGAGGCCAAACTGTTAGTTGTGAAGTAACGAAGGCATATACAAAGTGCTAATAACAAATTATTAGACATGCAAGCATCATACAGTGCATATTGTTCCAGCCAAAGAAAGAGTCTGATGAGAATATACAAAAATGGACTGATTAGTCAATGGCAATCAGCATTTCTGTACAAGGTGAGTAGAGTAAGCAGGAGCAAGTAAATGTTTGTATCACATGAAAGGCATTCTTTTCATGTCAATAAGGCAGCAGCACAATATTGACTGAAATTTTATACCCAAGGAAAACTCTTATGCTTCTGTTTTGAGATTCTGCACTTTTCCCACTTGAGAGGTTCCTATCAGGCTTTAAATCTGGGCAGAATAGAAGGGAAAAAAAGACTCAAAGTAGAAAAACAGAGCTATGCTGACCTTCTTGTTCTGTTTTGTAGACTAAGGGTATTTTTCACAGGAGGCCTCCCACTAGTGGGACCATCACCCAGACCCTCCCTGTGCACTGCTGCCTACTATATTCTGAACTTCATGAGTCCCTGAAGATGGAAGGGTTCTCTCAGTTTCTACAGACAGGTCTCCCAAGCCCCTCAAATGCAGCAGAGTGCTACGTGTTGTGGCTGTAGACCCCAGTGATGAGCTCCATCACTGATACCAAGGAGCCACAAGAACCACCCCTGGCAGACAGCGCCACACCCTTGGCTCTGGGATTTGCAGGATTGGGTCCTTTTATCTAGAGAGGATTACAGACAAGGCAGGGACTCTTTTATGTCTGGAATTGTTTTGTATCTCTATTATCTAAATTAAATTAATTTACCTTTAACTAATTATTCTTTTAATTTGGACTACTGTATCATTTTGTTGTGTCTGTAGCTCTCTACAACAGCACACTCTCTTGTCTCCCATACAAACAATGATTGATGGTAGCCACAAGCAACAAGGTGTCAATGGAAATTATATGGTGACAGCTTTCCAATCTGGTTCACAATGCTCTAATGCCTCATGCTGTAGCCACTAAATTCAACAGCACTTAAAAGATTTTGGTTGGTACAATTGTCCAAACACCGAGGAGTACATCTTTAGCACATGCACTTTGATCACCCATCAAGATGAACTGGACATACATAAATGTTTTCAGGAATACATAAAATTTCAGGAAAGTTTTAAACAGCTACTGCAGTATATAACAAAGAATTCATATGTCCAGCACCACAGATCTGGGCACCAAACTGCACATGCAACAAAACAGGTTTGGGGGGTTTTTTAAATCCAAGAAAAGGTTTGCAGCAGTGCCCTGCTGCTCACTACCTATACAAGTCCTCTCATCTGTGCCCACACTTAGACTGATAAAGATCACTAATTAACTATTAGTGGATCTAGAATTTTTAAAATGAGGAGAAAAGGGGGGAAGATAAGGAGAACAGATTTCACATATTATTACTAATTCACATTACTATTTCACATATTATCACTAATTCACTAATTATCTCCCACAGGATATAAAATCTTCACATTTAAATTTATAATGATGCACCTGGGTATCAGAAGCAAGGAACTGGGGGGTGTTAGATCTGACTTGGCAAGCCCCATTAGAAAGCTGTTTATATAGGTACCACAGCCAGGAGGTGGCACAAAGAATAAAGGCATCTTCCATTCTTTGTACCACAACCAGACACACAGCATCGCCTCCTACACACCACAGACTCTTCCCATGGGTTATTTTAGGCCACAGGAGAAGGCCATGGTGAGAAGGAAAGCCATGGCCAATATACCTGTCCATCAGCCTAAGTAGGTGTTCCTGGAATGAGCAATAACCCCCCCAAGGATGGGGCATCTTGAACGCTTCGCTCTACAGCAGGTCCTCTGACAGGATCCCTAGCTAAGCCTGTGGCCAGGTAGCTTTGCACCATAACTCAAACACTATGCTGCCTTTTCAAAATATTTTGAAGCCCAGACCTCCAGTGTAGCTGCCTACATTTCTGACTTCTCAACCCCACTTTGTGTTGCCAGCTCAGCTACAGTTCGCACGCCTAACTGATGTGCACATTGCTGCTGCATGTGCAAAGCTACAGACAAATACATTGAGAATGCAGTTGCACACTTAAAAGAAATGACCTTGCCCTCCCCTCACAGGCCCTTGCCCCTTATTTCTGCTAAACAAGTTAGGTGCTGGTTTTTATCATCTTTAGTGCCATCTACTGAGACTGTAAAAACACATCACTACTAAGCATATGCTCACAGATCTTAGGACATATCTTGTGTGATAAGCATAGTTGTTTGAGGTGGTTTTGATGACTTTTCAGGTTCTGCCCTGCAATTGTGTATGTGCTGTGTATCCCAGATTTACATGTACTTTAAATGAGAAAGAGCCAGACATAACCTTTCTCATTTACAGGATGGAAGAAAGACAGCATTCAGGGACACTTGCGGGTAATGCTGGGGTTAAAGGTAGGCAAAACTTTTGCAGTTTGGTCAAGAGTGGGATCTGTTTAGCCTTCACTGGGGTTTCAGTTCTCCCACTATCACAACAATTAGCTTTCATGCCAAATATTGTTTCCAGCTGAAACTTGCACAAAAAACTAGGAAAGCAGACTGAGTTGCAGACTGCATTCCGCCCTGTACACACCGTGACAGTTTAAGAGGTTTCACCACCAACCCCAAATAAAGCCATGCACCTCAACACACTGCAAGAATTCTAAGTTCTGACCAGAAAGCAAGATGTAGTGGCCACTTCATGTCTGTCTTTCTGTCACTGAAGCTGAAACTAAGAGTGTGGGGACACCATGCTGGGATTCACAACAAAACACTGTGGCAGCGGGAGGACATCTGCATGCACTCTCCTGCAGCCAGGCACCTGCCTGCTCTCCTTGCCTGTCACCTGAACAGGGAGAGTGTTGGCCCACAAAAGACAGTGAGAAATGGTCACACAACTGAGCGTCTTGTAACTTCAAATGTCATTTAGCTGAACTCAAGGCAGATGGCCCTGAGAGATCTGAACTGTTCATAAACTGTGCTTGATTCTGTTTTGTAGACTGAAATAATTTAACAAAATGCACTTAACATTCAACCTGGCAAAAGCATTTCAAGCCTGAATGTAGATACTATCAGCCTAACCTGACCTTTGCTGCCATAGGTTCAGCTCTTTGTAGGACATCGTCAGCCTTAATAATCCTACATGAGGAAGTTGGGATCTTTAAAAACACTGCTGTGGCTCAACACTTTGTTTAAATGCAGTTTCTTTTAAAAACCACAGATGTGTGCAAGTTTCCTTATAAAGTGCAGCACCAGAGGGGAGGCTCAGCTTGTAGGGGACTGCAGAAAAGGCAAAGGCTGTGGCTTGAGCCATCCACTTTAAGCACTGCACAGCAATGCCCCAAAAGCAGGCACTCAGATGCTTTAATGAACTATTTTCTCTAACTCTTGAAATGAAATCCTGATCCTACTGATGTCAACAAGCATTTTTTTCACTGGCTGCCAACACGGACAATATTTTGCTGTGATTGTAATGGGGAAAAACTTTTTTTTTTTTTTTACCCTTGAAGCATAGTCTAAAGCTGCCTCAGCAAGAGCAGGGAGGTAATGGCTGGTCACAGCCTTGGCCTCAGCTGGATGCTCAGAGGAAGGCAATGGACCTCACAGAGCAGCAGAGACAACTCTGGCTAATGACCAGCTGAGGAGGAGCTGACAAGAAATCAAGGAAGAAAGCAAGAACACCAAAATAAAAAAAACAGGAAGGAAATGGGTTGTTTCCTGCCCTCCATGCTCCTTACCAATGCCTTTCTGATATGAGACCCATCCTGGGTATCCATCTAAAAACTTGATTTCTTTGTAAACTATCTTCATACTTTTCAATTCCCACAGAATCTAAGTTATTGTAAATATTTTCATTAAATCAAATGTAGGCAGCTCAGTGCTTCAGAAGGTGCCTTCTAGTCTTTTTTGTCTACAATTATCTATAGAAATGCCCCATTTTGGGATTCTGACAGTTCATTTTCTGATACTATCATGGCTCCTGAGCCTTCCAAGATTCAGTGAGGATTTCAAGTAATCCTTAACTATATTTAAGGTCAGTCTGTGCAGTAGGCCACTGTAACTGGCAATAACAAAAGTAGTAGTATCACACTGGTAAAACAGTGTGTCTCCAGCAAAGCTGAAACCAGGGAAAGGTTTTCTGTTTGCATTTATTGCTGCAGTGATGCAGCTATGGCCTGGCACATAAAATTAAAATCTAGCCTAGCCTTTAAGCAGTAAAATGAGATGTTTCTTTACAGATCTTATTTTCTTACAGAAAGGAATCCCACAGCTGGGAGCTTTCTGGCACCAGAGACACCAGCCACTATTATTACTATCATTAATAAAAAGTAATTATATAGAAATACCCACTAGACTTGTAGACTAGGGAAAAAAAAATAAGTAGGACACCAGGTGTCAGTGAGACAAATTCTGATTTATACAGGGATTTTTTAAGCTGCTG